AGGGTATCAGAATATGCCACCCCAAACTATGCCACTTTAGTATAGCATTATTTTGAGCTGAAGGCAACTGAGAAGACGCAGATACAAGAAAAGTTCTGGACTTGACTGGTGGTCCAGTGTTAAGAATTGCCTGCCAATGCAGGGGACATGGGTTCGATCCCTGATCCAGGAAGATTCTTCAGGCTGCTGGGCAACTAAGCTGGTGCTCCACAGCTACTGAGCTCACATGCCGTAACCACTGAAGTCTGAATGCCTAAAGCCTCTGTTCCACAACAAGAGAAGCCACCTTAATCAGAAGTTCGTGCGCCACAACTAGAGAGGAGCCCCCGTTCACCACAACTAGAGAAAGCCTGCGAGCAGCAAAGAAGACCGAGCACAGCCAAAACCAAAAATAAATAATTAAAAATAAAGGTTCTCTGCCCTCCTCTTATTTGCCTACAAGCAGGACAAGAAAGGTGTTCCCGCTCCTTTCTCTACTAGGAAGGACAAAAAACTCTTGACCTTATCAGCCCAAAGAGGGCACCAGAGGAATCTACATAATAAACTGTACTAACTAGCCTTTATTTTTCATTAATGCTTTATATATTTACTTGCTCAACTTCATATATTTACTCACAACTTGCTTTGAATTTCTAAAAGTTGTTTTCCTCTGTCTTGTTGCTTCTCTAAAAGTTTATTGCTTTCTTGGGTTAAGATACTACTGTTAAAAACAAGATAACAGGCTCAAAATGGAGTCACTTATGCTAACTTAATTACAATTTCAGTGCTCCCAGAAATGAAATCTTAAACCAGACAGTCAGGGATTGCCTGATCAGTACTGTGTACATGCGTGCATGCTCAGTTGCTTCAGTTATGTCTGACTGCAACTCTATGACTGTAGCCTGCCAGGCTCCTCTGTCCATGGGATTTTCCAGGCAAGAATACTGGAGTAGCTTGCTGTACTATTAGGTAATCTGCCTGATAGATCCCTGCCATCCCCTAAAGGAAAATGACCTTGCTGTAACTAATCTGATTTTTTTTTTAACTAATCTGATTTTTGTCTAGTATAATTAACTCTTCTCTCTCCCTTCTGCCTATAAAACTCTCTTATTTTAGATAACTCCTCAGAGCACCTTTACATCTGTTGGTTGGATGCTGCGTGACTCATACATTATTGAATAAAGCCAATATAATCTTTACATTTGCTGAGTTGAATTTTGCTTTTTAACATTATATAAGCCCAAGTTCTGACCACCCTTTTGAGTCACTCCTAATTGTTTCCTGTGCATGTGCAATGCATATGTTAAGAAACATGTTGGTTTTCCTCTTGTTAATCTGTCTTTCGTCAGTCTAATTATAGGCCCAATGAACCTGAGTAGAGGGAAATAGTTTTTTTTCTCTCACTGTTTTAGTAACAAAAGGTCTAAGTTTTACACTGATTTCAGCTTCAACTTATAAATTTGATTTGTCCTCTGAAAGCCATAAGACTTGCAGTCCCTCCAGTACCCATTATTTTGCATGCCCAAATATTGGGGCTCTGTGCTTTGCCCAACTTCTAATTATTCAGAGAAATAACAAAGCAGACATAGTTAATTACCTGGGTTAAAGATAGTTAATAAGAACAAACATTTCCTTAATATTTACTTTGTGTCTAGTGCTGTGTTAGTTACTGTTAACGTCATCTCATTTAATCCCCACAACCTTTGAACTAAAGAATGTCATGCTTGTCTTGTATCTCTAAAAGGACTGAGTCATTAGTCACTGTGGTGACTGACCTTCAACACACTCTGAAAGGAGTTGAGGGCAGAGATCAGGAATGAGGCACTCTGTGCTTTGGGAAAACTGGCAGAACAGGCCTTCAGATGGATATTTACAGGAGAAAATTTGAACCCAATTGAGACAGCAGGGAAGGAGGCAGGGCACAACCATTAAGAGAATGATACACAGGGGAATTTCCTGGTGGTCCAGTGGTTAGAACTGGTGCTTTCATTCCTGGGGCCCAGGTTCAACCCTTGATAGAGGAACTAAGATCCCACGAGCCATGTGGCCTGCCCCCCGTCCCTCCCACACCCCCAAAAATAGAAGATAGGACAAATGCCATTTAGAATCAAGTAGGCCCAAGATGGTGGGCGGTTCAAATTCCAATAGACCTTGAGCCTCATTATAAGCTCACTGTAATATATGTGCATGCTCAATGACATACCCACAGGCACCATGACAGTTCTGAGATTGGCCATAAAAGCCCCAAAAGTGAGTGGTAACCCAATTTCTAGAAACCCCTGCTCCTTTCCCCAAATAGTTGAAATAATCTTCCCACTTGTTAGCCTATGAAATTACCCAACCTATAAAAACTAACAACCATGGGGCTTCTCTGCTTCTGAGATGGCCCACACTCTGTCTATGGAGTATGTAACTCCCTCAGTAAACCTGCTTTCACTCTACTTCATCTAGTTCTTGAATTCTTTCCTGTAGGAAGCCAAGGACCCTCACTTTGGGGCTTATCCCAGGGTCTTGCCCAAGACTTGGGAAGTGACCATTCTCTCATGCCCCATTTTCCTGCAACACAACTTCTGGCATTTCCCCATACTTAGAAAAGCACTAAAATCATTAACTAAGATATCTGTGCCTTGTGACTAGCAGTAGCCCTCCACCAAGATGTGGTTGACAGCACTTACCCACTCCCTTCTCCACAAAGACATGATCACCTCTACCTCTTCAGAGCAGTTCCTCAGAGTTATCTGAGACACTCTCTCTTGGGCTATAGCCCTCAGTAAATCCCCAAATAAAACTGAAAGTTACAGCTCTCACATCGTGCATTTTTACTTCAGTCAACAATCCAACAAGCCATGTATTGTTCTTTCCATCTTGAACAAGAGGAAAATGAGGCTGTCAGACTAACTAACTTGTCCTGGATTAGAGAACCAGTCATCAGCGGGGCTTCCCTGGTGGCTCAGTGGTAAAGAATTTGTCTGCCAATGCAGGACATGTGGGTTTGATCCCTGGGTCTGGGAGATTTTCTGGAGAAGGAAATGGCAACCCACTCCTGTACTCTTGTCTGGGAAATCCCAAGGACAGAGGAGCCTGGCAGGCTACAGTCCATGGGGTCACAAAGAGTCAAACATGACCTAGCGACTAAACAACAACAAAACAGCAGAATCAAGGCTCAAACCCAGGATTATCTGACTCTTGTGTATCTCCACTACTCAGGACATGACTCTTTACATAGAGATTCTGATTTAAAATATTGAAACTAACACTAGTATTAACAATTTTCCATTGAGAGATCAGTCAAAAAAAATGTTTCAATGATTACAGAATCATAAACTGAACACAGAAGACTACTTGCTGTTTTAAGTAGTCCAGAAAGCTATAGTTCATTATATCGGTGTTTGACTTTGCAGATCTCAAAAGGATGTATTCAGTGAGTGAATTTGATGTTTTTCATCTCTTCTGCTTTCCCCCTTTGGGAGTTCCTATGGAGATGCTAATGATGATAGTAGACAAGGATCAAAGGTAGACAAAACATAAGGGAGAGACTACTGGAAGGAGCCTGGATGATTCCCCTCAGGAATCCACTCCTAAATGATTAAACAGCCTCCGCCTAGTCTTTAAAGTTTGAAGTTGAATACTGGTGAGGAAGCTACTGTCCTACTTACTGATGAGGCAGGGAGAAAGTTTCAACTTGTCAGATAAACTGAGCTTCTTGCCTTATTATATTGAAATTCAGAACTGGCATGGTTATGCACTTTTTTCTCAGCAACTTAAGAGTTTAGATTGAAGTTCTGATAACAGTATAAATCTCCATGAGTGTGAATATATCTTCAAATAGATTTTAAAGTTGTTTGAGGACATGGATTACATCTCCGCTTTCTAGAACTAAGCAAGGTTTTGCTCACGACTGTTAATCAGTACATTTGTGATGCTCATTTGGTTCCAGTTTAAACACAAATAAAAAGTGAAAATGAATGAAGGAAACTTGCTGTTTTAGGAATTTTGCTTGAATGCCTAGGATAGTTCAAAGTTATAAATGTAAGCTGTAAAAGTACCTGGTTCATGTACTGCTTGCAGCTTGGAGAAAGACTAGGTCTGGAAGGTCAGATTCATATGAAATTAAAACGCAGAAAATGCCAGAAATTAAGGTATATCTTAGTTTTCAAAAAAAGTTAAAATGCTAGATATGAATAGTTAATCTCACTTGTTAAAATACAAACCCTCAAACCTTTAGTTTCCTCTGCAAAATAAGATGGAGCGTGTAGGGTTTGAACCAGGCACCAGGCAATGCTCTTACAGGCCTTTCAGAGCTGTCATTCTGGGATAGTTCGACAGGTTCAAGATGATAGCTTGGGAATAGAAGGCTGCTAAACTTGATCATATACTCTTATGCAATTTAATGGACTTTCCCCCCGCCCCTGCCCATCACCAGCTCTTTTAAGACTATATCATATTTCCCTGAGGATACCTAAAATCTAGCATAACGACCTACAATCTATAGCAAAATGGAGGCTGGAGAAGGCGTCCAATAAATGTCTGCTGATTGAATGAACACCTGCGGGCCTAGGTTCTACCGCGCTTATTCCTAAGCGTCCTCAAGAGGTTAGCTCCCAAATCGAGTTCAGGGCCGGGCGGAGGTCGAGCTCCCCCACTCCGCCCCGCACTTGCCTTCTCCAATAACCAAGTCTAAACTGATGCCTACGCAGTGACCGGCTCCGGTGGTTCTCACTGCGGGACAACTCGACCTCCTCTAATGATCTGGGACAGGCATCTGCAGTTAGTGCCCTTAACAGAATTAGGGTCGGGCGGGTACCGAAACCCAGGAAGCGCCAGACATTGACTTAAAGCAGATCCAATTAGGACGCCTAAGAACCAAAGAAAGCCGGAACCTTTGGGTAGCCACGCTGTCCGCTGAAAAACCTATCCTTCTCTTCCGCCCACGCTACTCTGTTGCTAAAGCAACTGTGGGCGTCTCTAACCCGACGGCGGAAACAGGACAAAAAGAGTACACGTCTCCAGCTCTGGGACAGATCCGTTGCGCAGGCGCACTAGTTTTCTCTGGCTGTAGTTCTCATGCAGTTGACGTATTCTGCGTCTGCGCATTACTTGCTTCGCGCCTTGGCCGGCCTATACGCCTGCGCAAAGTGGCAACTCGAGGAGGGCGGAGCTGGGATATTAGCTGTGCGCATGCGCCGACGCTATATCCGGTGTGGTGGTCTGGTCAGTTAGGAGTTTGAGGGTACGCCGGCGGGAATATTCAGCTTGAAGCCGACTGTAGTCATGTCGGCGTCTGTGTTGTCGGTCATCTCGCGGTTTTTAGAAGAGTACTTGAGCTCCACTCCTCAGCGTTTGAAGTTGTTGGACGCATACCTCCTGTATATACTGCTGACCGGAGCGCTGCAATTCGGTTATTGTCTCCTCGTGGGGACCTTCCCCTTCAACTCCTTCCTCTCGGGCTTCATCTCTTGTGTGGGGAGCTTCATCCTAGCGGGTAATGATTCTATAAGTGATCTCAATAATAATGTGTTGCTTTGGTGCGTGCTTGTATTTCCACAGTACTCGGTTCTGTATCAGACCACCGCCTTCTGAAGTTGTGAGGGGAATCTGCATTGCCGTGTTTTTGTGAGTGGGGAAATTGAGACTCATTCAGGTTGTCGTACCTAACACCAAAAAGCCGCCGAAGAACTGGACTTAAATCTAGAAACACCTTCATTCTGCTCCTCAACCTGGTGATTGACTTCACTTCATATTGGTCCAGGGAAAACTGCATTTCGGCTTTAACTTAAGTTTATTTAACACAGCTTTGAAGTTGGTAAACTTTAAAATGGAAAACCCAACTCTGAAGCTGTTATTTTACTATCTTGAACTCAGCTTTCATTCTCATAATTCTATTATTGGTGTGATACAATCAGAAGAATTTTTGAGCAGATAATTTTTCTTTATGCCAAGTTTTTGTATTTGAGGCTGCTGTGGCTAAAATTGAATTGGCAAAAAAAAAAAAATTGAATTGGCAGACCCCCTAACTTCCTCCCCAATGAGAAGTTGATGACTTGTCATTGAAGAAAATGCCTAGTGAGAGGGAATAGTGGGGTTCTTGTGGGGGATTGTGATTTCATAGCTGTTGGATAATAGGTAATTGGGGCTAAGAAATGAAAATTGCTTTAGGAAAAAGGATTCAGGACAATTCATAGTTGCTGTGGAAGGGTATTGGTTGCATTTCTTTTTATTTTTTAAATTTTTATTTTTTAAAACTTATTTTTAACTGAAGGATAACTGCTTTACAATGTTGTGTTGGTTTCTGCCATATAGCAGAGTGAATCAACCATAAGGGTACCTGTATCCCCTCCCTTTTGAAACTCCCTCCCACTTCCACACCCCTTTCCCCCATCTCTAGGTTGTCATATAGCCCTGGGTTGAGCTCCCTCAGTTACACAGCAGCCTCCCACTAGCTATCTGTTTCACACATGGTAATGTATATGTTTCAGTGCTACTCTCTCAATTCATCCCACCCTTTTCTTCCCCTGCTGTGTCCACAAGTCTGTTCTGTCTGCCTTTCTCTTCCTGCCCTGCATATAGGTTCATGTGTACCATTTCTCTAGATTCCATATATATGTGTCAATATATATTTGTTTTTTTGTTTCTGACTGATTTCACTTTGTGTAACAGGCTCTAGGTTCATCCACCTCAGTTCAGCACCCTCAAATTTGTTCCTTTTTATGGCTGAGTAATACTCCATTGTATGTATGTACAGCTTCTTTATCCATTTCTCTGTTGACGCACATCTCACTTGCTTCCATGACCTGACTATTGTAAATAGTGCTGCAGTGAGATTTGGAATACATGTGTCTTTTTGAATTATGGGTTTCTCAGGGTGTATGCCCAGTAGTGGGATACCTGGGTTATAGGGTAGTTCTATTCCTAGTTTTCAAAGTAATCCCCATACTGTTCTCCATAGTGGCTGCCTCAGTTTACGTTCCCACCAACAGTGCAAGAGGGTTCTCTGTTCTCCATATCCTCTCCAGCATTTATTGTTTGTATAATACATTTCTTGATGGTGGCCATTCTGACCAGTGTGAGGTGGTGATACCTCATTGTTGTTTTGATTTGTTTAGAGCATTTCTCTAATAATGAACCATGTTGAGCATCTTTTCATGTGTTTATTGACTGGATTTAGAAAAGGCAGAGGAACCAGAAATCAAATTGCCAACATCTGCTGGATCATCAAAAAAGCAAGAGGGTTCCAGAAAAACATCTACTCCTGNAAAGAGTTAGACACGACTGAACACACACACACACACAAACACACACACTGCATAGCACAAGCAACTCTATTATTCAGTGCTCTGTGGTGACCTAAACGGAAAGGAAACCCAAAAAAGGGGATACATGTGTATGTATAACTGATTCACTTTGCTATACCACAGAAACTAACAACAACATTTCAAGCAACTATACTCCAATAGAAATTAATTTTAAAAAATAGAAAACTTATTCCTAACCTGTTCTAATGGACATGAGTTTGAGTAAACTCCGGGAGTTGGTGATGAACAGGGAGGTCTGGCGTGCTGCAGTCTGTGGGGTCCCAAAGAGTCAGACATGACTGAGCAACTGAACTGAACTGGTACATCTTTGGAGAAATGTCTGTTTAGGTCTTCTACCCATGTTTTGGTTGGCTTGTTTGTCTTTCTTATGTTGAGCTGCATCAGCTGCTTGTATATTTTGGAGATTAATCCTTTGTCAGTTGCTTTCTCCCATTCTGAGGGTTTTCTTTTTATTTTTGTTTATAGTTTCCTTTGCTGTGCAAGTGTTTTTAAGTTTAATTTGATCCCATTTGTCTATTTTTGTTTGCATTTCTTTTGACACCTTGGACCTTACTAAATCCACCACTGCCTTGTGTCTGTTTATTGTGCTGGGGTTTCTAACCTCCCCAAGTTGTTCTATCTATTGGAAGAGAAGGGAGGTCAGTTTGGCTGAGAAAGGGAATTGTAGGCGATTATGTGGAAGGATTAGGTAGTTCTGGGTGCTAGAACTTTGAGGGCCAGGCCAAGGAATTTTATCCTCTAGGTAATAGGAATGCATCTAAGCATTTAAAACATTTAAAAATTTTTTTAGATTTGAGTGAAGGAGAGACTTAAAATTGGTGTTAATATGTAGGATAAACTGGAGGGGAAAGTTCTCTAATCTGGTTCCCTTAATTTTTTTTGGTAGTCTGTTCTTTTCCATCCCTTCTGCATGTGTTCTTTAGCATATGCTCTTTGGACATTGACTAGTACCTTATAAATCAGTACAGGACCCTGTCACTTTTTTTTTTTTAAGCCTGATATTATTTGAGCCCAATGAAAATGATCTGTTTTCTCCTACTCCCTCATGACTGGGGAGACTTACCCATGGTTTTCAAGAAGGAGCCAGAGGTAGAAAATTGCCATTGATAAATCTTTTTTTGTTTGTTTTTTTTGGATCAACAGTTTACAGTGTAGAAGACTTCAATGATAGAATATTTTTTTCTTCCAGACAGATTTCAGACATCCTCAGCAGCTGACTGTTTATCTTTTGGTTAGATATCTCTAGAAGAGGACACCTGTCCCTTTTTCAGAATAGCATCCCAATATTGGCAGCCTTACTAGTTTTCCTTTTTTACTTGATTCAAATCCCTCTTTTGCTCCTTTAAAGTGCTCTTTAGGAGGGATGTGTGGAAAACATTAAGACTGTCCTTAAAATAAGTCTTTGATATTGAAATCAGTTTTTAAGTAGTTTCACAGCTTTTGTCTATTCTGTTTTCTAATCTTTATGAAATACTTTTGGAATTAACAGAGTTTTGTTTCCCCTAGTTTATAGATCCAAAATGGTTTGAATTTGAAAGGCAAGGAGGCCTAATTCAGAGTGTTTTCTTTTTCATGGCAGCTCTTTGGCAGTGAGGACTGGAGTCCAGTGTTTCTTTGGAAATTATCTATTAGATTCCTAGGCCCATGCTGCTGCTGCTAAGTCACGTCAGTGTCCGACTCTGTGCGACCCCATAGACAGCAGCCCAAGAGGCTCGTCTGTCCCTGGGACCATAGTTGTTATCAAAGAAGTTGGGAGTTTGGCAGCATTATGCCTGACAGTCCTGTTTCTAAATCTCATATATGTTGCTAGCTGTTTGTCTTCTGTCATTCGGGTTCTCAATATCTGCTATCTGGACTACTGTAATCTTCCTTATTGATCTCCCAGCCTCTTGTCTCTCCCTCCAGTCCCTCTTCCACTATGTTTGCGGGCTTGATTTGACTTACAGATCTAACTGTTCTACTCCCCACAGAAAATTTGCCTGTATCCAAAGAGAAATTTAAAATATTTTTTAATGGTGTAGAGGCCCTTTGATGATCAGGCCCTGGCCACATCGCGAGCTTCATCTCTTGTCTCCACCTCCTCTGTACTTTATATCCCAGTTTTATTGTGTTACTTATTTTTCCCTGAACATGCTAAGGTGTATTAAGCTATTTTACCTTTGTTTGATTGCCTGGAAAATTCCTTCCCTTGTTAGACAGCTCAAGTGCTGCTTCCCTTTGAGCCCTTGCCTGGCTCTTGAGATTTAGGTCTTCCATGTTCTGTAGGTGTGTAATGCTCTGTTCATCAATCAGTGCTTAATACTGGATGTTCAGTTTTGAGCATGGCTTCGATAAAATTAAAGAATGTTGAATATTTATGTGTCAGGTTTCCTGGCGGGGAACTGAGAATTTAACTATAGAACATGCAGATGTGGTCTCTACTCCCACAGGGTTTATAATCTGGTGGGAGATGCAGGCAAGTACATGGATATGGTGCTGTGATGGAGAAGTATTGGTGAGAATAGTGGTCTGTAACACTTCCCTAATACGTTTACTTTTCCAAGACATGCTTCGTAATTTCTCTCTGCACTCTCACCTGTCTTTTCTCTTTTCCTTTATTCTCAGTTGATCTGCTTTGTTTTTTGCTTTCCCTTTCCCAACAGGGAATCATAGCAGCTCACCTCCACTTGTACCCCTGCTCTCTGACTTACTTCCTGTGATGGTGGATGATATATCCCTTTCCTATCAGAGGCCACCTCCTCCGCTTGTGAAGAGCATCTTGATGTCTCTTGCTCACTCAAGGACTCAGCTTCTGTAATCATCCCTCCATTCTGTACCATTAACTTCACTCCACTGGATCATTCCCATCATACACATATGCTCTAGTTAATCATCCAATTAAAAAATTTATTTGACTCCAGATACTCCTCTAGCTACTGTTCCATTTCTTTTCCATCATCACGGAATCCCTTGAAAAAATAGTCTAGTTGTCTAGTTGTTTCTGCTTTCTCATTTTCCATTTGCTCTTAACCCACTCATGGTGGTGGTCTTTCCCCACCACTGCAGTGAAACCACTCTTTCCATCTTGCCAGATCTAATAGCACACACCTCACCTTGCCGGAATGCTCAGCAACATTTAGCAGTGAACATAGTTGGCTGCTTGCTTCTGAGTGAATGAAGTACTTTCTTCTCAAAACTTTTACAACACTCCACTCTCCTGGTTGTTCTCTTTTACCTCGTTGGTTTTTCCTTCTTACTGCTGGTGCTAGGTGTTTCTAGGTCTGAGGGTGTGGTTCCAAACCCATTCTCTATTTCTTTCCTTTAGGTGAATTTAAATAATATCTATGTAACTGCAACTACCACTTTAATATTTTCAGTTTTAACTTGTTCCCTGAATTCCAAATTAGTAAGTCCAGTTGCCCAGTTAACATCTTCACTTGATGTCTAACGGACAACTCCAAATTAAGCCTTCCGGCCCAACCATCTTTCTCTTGCCAGGCAGAACATAGTGTCAACATTGGTTAAATTGTTGAAGCTAAAAATTTAGGAGGTTTTCTTGATGCCTTGATTTCTCTTATCTCCCACATCCATTACATCAGCAAGCCCTTCTTTTCCAAAACATAGTCTGTATCTCTTCACTTCTGTCCATTTTACTACCATTGCCCAAGCTCTGGCTCCTACTTGACTCTCTTGTTTCTTTAACTCTGCAAACCATTCTCTTTATTGCAGTTCTACCATCCTTAAAAAATGTAAATCAGATTATTTTACTCATCGGCTCAAAACTTTGAAATATTACTCCATTGCTCTTAGAACTACATCCAGACTCTTTACTGAAGCTTACAAAGCTCCACTGGATTTGGCCCTTGTCTGCCTCTTGCCCTTGATCTCTACAGTCTAGTCAGTCTGACATGTTGTACCTAGAGCATGTCAACATTGTTCTTGCACCCTGGAATGCTCTGCCCCTAGATCTTTCCATAGTTGGCTCCTATCAAATTTTGGTCTTAAAATAGCACCTTGTTAGAACTTCTGTTACCACCAAATAAGAAATAGCTTCCCAGTCACTCTTCTATTACCTTGTTTTCTTTATAGTACATCTCTCTACCTCATATTTCCTTATTTATTTGTTTTCTTGTTTGTTATGTTTCTCTTCATTGAAGTGTAAGTTCTTTGGGAGCCAGACTCTTATTCTGTGCCAAACGGCACATAGTAGATGCTCAGTAAATATTTTGCTGAATAAATGTACATTTAAGGAGATAAATTAGAACCACTAAAATGGAGCAAGCTGCCTTAGAAGGTAGTACATTTCCATTTTTGGAAGTGCTCAGGGAGAGACTGAGGATATTTGTGGGGGGCAGCGGGGGGGGGGGTTGCGGGGGCGCAGTTTGAACAGAGGGCTTCCGTGATGACTCAGTAAAGAATCTACCTGCAATGCAAGAGATGTGGGTTCGATCCCTGGGTTGGGAAGATCCCTTGGAGAAGGGAATGGCAACCCACTCCAGTATTCTTTTTGCCTGGAGAATTCAATGGACAGAGGAACCTGGAGGGCTACAGTCTATGGGGTCGCAAAGTGTTGGACATGACTGAGAGACTTAACACTTTTTGAACAGGCGTTCTTTGCCTTTTTTTCACCCCTGCATGTGGGGGATATGTTGCCTCTGTGATAACACAGGCTCTGGATGGTTTGTAATTCTCTACCTGGGGATGACTTATTAGATTCCGGAAATGGTAAGTATATTTTGAAACGATTCCCAGCTGATTCATGCAGCCCTCTTGGCATGCCCATTCTCACCATCTCTTGGGCATTTTGTGCACCATAAGGGATGTTGGTCTGTATGACATTCAGGGTCCTTTGCATCTCTGCAAGATTCTGACTCTTACGTTGTTATTGAAGTTATTCGATTACTGTGATTGTGAAAATGGTAACATCACCTTCATGTAGAGTTTCTCTTTCCTTTTGTCCCCCATTCTCAAGCACTACTCTACTCCCACCTTCACCTCAGTAGCCTCTGTTAATTGTGTTTGGTATCTCTCCAGAGTTTTTCTATATTCCAAGAAAAATGAGAAAATATATTTAAGAGAAATATGGAATAGAATAGTGTAATATTTTTGACTTTTTTTCAATTAATATATTTTAGATATCTTTACTGTCAACCTATCAAGAATTCACCTCATTCTTTTGAATAATTGCATGGGATTTTATTGCATGTCTGTAATTTATTTAAATAGTCCCTTGATGTCATTTGGACTGTTATCACTTTTTTTTTAGCTTTAGGTACATGCTGTTAGAATGTCCTTATTCTGTAAGATAAATTCTTTAGTTAAAAGGTGGCAACATTTTAAATATTAATAGATGTTGCTAGTTGCTCTGGCAAATGGATGAACCAAGCTGTACTCACCCCAGCAGATTTTAATTGGCCACCCTTGTTTCAGTCAGTGTCCTTCATGTTTTGAAGAGTCCAGGTTTCTGAAAAACATCAGGGGTGTTTCCACAGTGTTTGCATGTTTAAGCATAATGACAACTCTGTTGCCATAGTGATGGACTCTTGAGAACTAGTCTAGTAGTTTTCTGACCTTTGGGTTAGATCTCAGTTCGTTGCCTTCTCTTGGTTAGTGGTAAAATGGATGCTCAGTTCAGTTCAGTTACTCAATTGTGTCCGACTCTTTGTGACCCCATGGACTGCAGTACACCAGGCCTCCCTGTCCATCACCAACTCCCCGAGTTTACTTAGACTCCTGTCCATTGAGTCAGTGATCCATCCAGTCATCTCATCCTCTGTCATCCCCTTCTCCCGCCTTCAATCTTTCCCAGCATCAGGGTCTTTTCCAATGAGTCAGGTCTTCCCATCAGGCGGCCAAAGTATTGGAGTTTCAGCTTCAGCATCCGTCGTTCCAGTGGATATTTAGGAATGATTTCCTTAAGGATGGACTGGTTGGATCTCCTTGCAGTCCAGGGGACTCTCAAGAGCCTTCTCCAACACCACAGTTCAAAAGCATCAATTCTTTGGAGCTCAGCTTTCTTTATAGTCCAACTCACATCCATACATGGCTACTGGAAAAACCATGACCTTGACTAGATGAACCTTTGTTGGCAAAGTAATGTCTCTGCTTTTTAATATGCTGTCTAGGTTGGTCATAGCTTTTCTTCCAAGGAGCCTTTGAATTTCATGGCTGCAGTCACCATCTGCAATGATTTTGGAGCCCAAGAAGAAAAAGTCTGTCACTGTTTCCACTGTTTCCCCATCTATTTGCCGTGAAGTGATGGGACCGGATGCTAGCATGAAGTAAATTTAAGTTGTGTAATCATTTGTCACAGGTATAAAGATATTTAGGAAAAGTGTATCCCTAGAACTTTCTTTTCATGTCAAATGGTGACTGTGGCTACAGTATCAGGTTGGAATCTTCAAGGGTACAGAAGGTGGCCATGGAGAGTTCTCTGTCAGAGCTATGTAACTTAGATCTCTTGCCTTTTTTGAGACCAGCAGCTGCTAGAACTGGGAGATCAAAGATTATCTATAACTGTGAGGTCCTCGTGGATACGCATCTCTGTTGTCTAATAAACATGTTCTGTTGGAAATAATTGACAATTTTATAACTTGGTCTCAGCTTGCTTCCTTTGTTACTACCTCAGCTACATCTCAGTCTTAATAAGTTTATAAACTTAAGTCAGGAGATAAGAGAGTTCTCAAGATTTTGTATATATATTGTATATATATTTTTTCTAAGTAAGCCTTTGATTTTTAGCTTAACTCTGAGAAGTCAAATTGTTCCCTTTAACGAACAACAGCAGAAAATTTAAGTGTACAACTTGATGAACTTAAAAAAATTTACCCTTTTAACCACTATCATGTCAAGATACAGAACATCACCAGCACCCTAAAGGTCTCTCCACGTGCTTTCCAAGTCATCTCTTCTGTGAAAGATTAAAAACCACTATCCTGACTTGTATCGCTGTAGATTGTTTTTGGCCAGTTTTAAGCTTTGTAGAAGTAGAATCATGAGAATGTATTTTTTGGTGTCTGGATTGTACTGCTCATCATGATATTTGTGGAAATCCATGTTGTGAAGTTCTTTCATTGCTATATGGTATCTGTTGTATGCATATGCCATAATTTACCCATTTTACTGTTTTGTTTGTGGGTTTTTTGTGGTTGCTTAACTTGTGAAATCTTAGTTCTCCAAGCAGGGATGGAATCTGGGTCCCTGTTAGTGAAAGTGCTGAGTCCTAACCACTGGACTGCTGGAGAATACCGCCTATTTTACTATTGGTAGATATTAGATTGCATCCATTTGGGGGCCATCATCGGTATCATTCCTTTCGTATCACTTCTGTTGGAATAGAATTATTGGGTCAGAGGGTCTGAGTATGTGCATTAGTCATACATGTCACATATTTGATAATCATTTTTGTACTTTTCTTCTTGTACAGTTTGTCTGAGAATACAGATCAACCCACAAAACAAGGCGGATTTCCAAGGCATCTCCCCAGAGCGAGCCTTTGCTGATTTTCTCTTTGCCAGCACCATCCTTCACCTTGTTGTCATGAACTTCGTTGGCTGAATCGTTCCTGTTTACTTAACTGAGGAGGAGGAGACTAGAAGAATGTAAGTGATGATCTTAGCGCTTATCACATGATGTTGATTTTAGGAATAGAGATTGGAGGGGGCTGGTTTTGATTATGGTTGGCAGAGTTCCCATAGTGCTGATGAGAGGTTTGCAGAATTTTCCATATTGGTCTGCAAAGTTTGTGTTAATATCATCATGATTCATCAGTGCTGCTGATCTTGGTCATTGCCTTCTCTTCTCACTGTTCTGGAAATGATTAAGAGAGCAGAAAATGGGAGTTTGCCTGTAGCTAATACATTAATTTCTGCACCAATAACCCCATGAAAATAACTCTGAGCTCTTGGAAGAGACATAAATTGTAGATTTTGGTTTTAGTTTTGCTCTATAATTTTTTTTCTGATATTGATCTCAGATGACTTCAAATGCTGGGCCATTGTTCCCTTAGTACCTAGTATAGTGCTTACACTTGATATACATATAATATATGCTAAATGAGTGATAGCTTCTTGATGACAGTTTCTTGCTAATATATGTGCTAAATTAAAAATTAATGGGAAAACTGGATTAGCTTGGGAGAACACCTTAAAATATAAGATGAGAAGCTCTTTGGTTCATTTGTCAGTTTTCCTTTTTTTTTAGCCTTTTAATTTCATGGCTGCAGTCACCATCTGCAGTGATTTTGGAGCCCCCAAAATAGAATCTCAATATATAAAATGGCAGAGGAGCCAGGGTTGTTTTGATTGACAAAGTTGAAAAGCCCTGTTTGCTCGGGCTCCCCTCATGTGTAGTATTCCCTCCCCTCCATCCTTTCCTCCTAAGCAGAATCCTAAAGCTCTGAGAAGCACTTGACTCTGTTAATAATTGTTTTATATGTGAGGAAAGAAGCGTTCCAGAGCATCTACTGGTTTCCTTGGCTACGTAGCTCAGTGGAGGCAGAGCAGTGTCCTAGTCCAGTGGTGCTCTTCCAATATCCTATGTTGCCTACTGATGAGTAAATGCACTCTATTCTCTGCCTTTCCCCACAGAATTAAATCTTGCTATTACTGGGGTAGAGAAAAGAGAACCTTAGGAAATGTTACTCTCTATGGGGGAAGAGGCCCAGCCTCTTTCTGTTGTACTTGGAAAGCTGTCTTTTTTGTATTAATCAGAAATCTAACACATGAGTTACAACAGCCATGTGCAAGGTAAATGTAATAATATGACTGACTATACTTCAGTTTCTATCATAAGTCAATCAGTTACTTAGTATATTACATAAAGCCTTTCCATTTTGTATATTGTCTCAAAAACAGTTCTGTTAGTTCAGGTGAAGTTTCACTTTTGGCAGTAAAGTTGACAGAGATGGTTTATATCAGTGAAAGAGCTTGAGAACCACTTCTTTCTACTATTGTAATACAGTTGAATTTTTTTGAGACCTGATCAGGACTTGAATTGTTCTCTCATATGCCAGTCAATGCCTTGGTACTGGGAATACAAAGAAAAGGAAAATATAGTTCCTGCCTTCAAGAAGTGAACAGTCTAATGGAGAAGCCACGTACCCACAGCAGTTAGAGCCATGCTAAAGACCTGAACAAAGTGCTGTGTGGGCTGAGAGAAGGTGGCTGCCATGCTATCTGGGGCAGAGGCCACAGGCGAGGTGTCTGACCAATGACAGCTTCTGCAGTGCAGGTGGAAAACTTAGCCAACAACGCTGACCTTCACTGACCCGCGAACATCATGAGTAACCCTTGGGCTCTGATAGTAAACTTGCTGGAAAGGTCATAAGTCTTCTGATTGCCTTACTTTAAAAGTAATGGCTTACTTTAGAGCAATGCCTTACTCTAAAAAGTAAATGCCTTACCTTTTTTTAGATGAGTCATGATGGTGTATGCTTTAACAAGGGGACAGAGCATACAGTCCAAGGATGTTCTCTAGGATAACGGAGATACCAAATCATGAAAAATTATTTCTTAGGGCTGTCATGATTGGAAGAGGACTCTGCTGCAGAGAGCTTAGTATTTCAAAATTATGACAAAAACAGACAAAAAAGCAGGCTCAGCAGAAACTGCATACTGCAGACCATATTAATGACCTAGGGCCACCTGTTCAGCTGGGAATTATGGATCCAGGGTACAGCATAATCTTCCAATCCCAGACTGCAGTGTTAAATCATTCTATAGAGGGTATATTCATAGAGAATTCTGTGGGGGACTCGTCAGGGTTTTTCTCCCCAGAGATCTTTCATTTGACATACAGTATACTGTCCTGCTCTCAATCTTCAGATAGACATTTTCCTGCTCTTTTTTCTGTTTCTAATTTAGTTCTATGTGCAGTGTCCTAAAACACTTTTAAGAATGGTTTTTAAGTGAGTTTTCAATATTTATATCAGAGGGTACAGCAAAAATTTAATACTTTCCATATTTGCCAAGTATGTTGGGAGTTGGGTATAAAGAGAATAAACATCTATAGGGTACTGCTCTTTGTGAATTTTGGGGTAGCATTTAAAACCAGCAGCGACTCTGAAAAAGGCAGATCAGAAGAAAATGGCGTTGAGTTAAAGAAATGTTTTCCAAGGAGAAGTAAGGAAAGCAGATAGTGAATGCTCACATGGACCAGGTTTTAAGTTCTTTTTATTCTGTCTTATTTTATTTTCAGAACAACCTCTTGAGGATAAACTTGCTAATTCCACTTATGAATGGGAAACTGAGATTCAAGGAGCCTTGCTGGAAATCTTTTAAGTCTGATAATCCAGTCTGATGTCAAAAAATGTGTTTAATCTCTATTTTCACTTGTGTTACTTGCTCAATCTTGTCCGACTCTTTGCAGCCCCACAGACTGTAGCCCGCCAGGCTCCTCTGTCCATAGGGATTCTTTAGGTAAGGATACTGTAGTGGGTTGCCATTTTCTTCTCCAGGGAATCTTCCTGACACAGGGAAACCTGGGTCTCCTGTACTGCAGACAGATTCCTTACCATCTGAGCCACCAGGGAAGCCCTAATTTTTGCTTAAAATTGCTTATTATAGGAACTTCCCTGGTGGTCCAGTGGCTAAGATTCTGTGCTCCCAATGAAGGGAGTTGGGTTTGATCCCTGGTCAGAGAATTAGATCCTACATGCTGCAACTAAGAGTTCCTTCACCACAAGTGAAGTTCCTGTACTGCAACTAAAGATCCTACATGCTGCAATGAAGATTGAAGATCCTGCGTGCTGCAACCAAGACCCGGGGCAGTCAATAATTATATATTTAAAAAAAAAAACACCCTCCTAAAAAAAATTGCTTGTTATAAAGTATTTGACAATTGCATAGTCAGAGAAATGTGTTTAAAATGTGGCCACAGTTATTTTACCACCATCTTTTCCTTTATTACTTACTTTCCTTGCTTGTATGACAATGTTAAAAGTACAGAAAAGTACAGAGAATAATATAACATCCCCATGTTTGTTACTCGCAGTGGGCAGATTTTGAACAGAAACTAAGCTAAAGTTCCTTTGAATCCCTCCAGTCCCCGTTGTTTCCCTCTGCTGTAAGACTTTACTGTCTTCTTAAAGTTTATAAATACATAAAAACTACTGTTAATAATACAACCTTATCCAAACTTTAGACTTTGTGGCCTCCTGAAAACATGTCCAGAGATAGCAGAGTGAGAAACCTGTGGTAAAAGTTAGCTGTTCAGTTGGCAACACTGGTATAGGTGGCTATTCCTGGGGTCAAGAATAGACTTCATAATATTTAAAAAGTTATTATAAAAAGGAAAAATTCTCCTCGTGAGCTTCTGAGTTGGGAGAATTCATGCACCTCTCAAGTGATGGTATTTGGCACTTAGGTGGCAGTAAGTCTGTTTTGAATGAATGCATCATATTCAGTGGACTTGAATATTTAGAGATTTACATAACCACAGGTGAATATTTCCTGTTTTGTTTTTCCATGTCTTCCTGTGAAATTCTTTTCAGAAAATGTCAGCCTACCTCGTGTTCGGAAGGGAAGAGAGACTTAGCTACATTGGATCACAGCTTGGGAAGGGAAGTTCCTGATGACTCCGCCCTGGATCAGAGGGAAGAGTGAACAGGGCTTTGATAAAGGGACAGACCTGAGCTTGGAAGTGTGCTTATCCTGGGGGAGATGGTTTGCCACCAGCTTGTGCTGAAACCTTGTTAGTGTTAGTTTTTATGCTGGAGGTTGTTCTACAAGTCTTTAAATATTCATAGTGTTTAATTCTGGCTGAAGCAAGGGTGCTACAAGGCTGGGCAGAACATAACTCTGACTAACGGAACTATATTCCAACAAGCAATTGCTGTTGGCTTTTTGAATTAATCAGTAAATATCAGTACTATAGTAATCTAGAAAATTACCTCTAAAGGGAATCCTAATGTTATTTTTTAGGCTATACTGCCACCTAGTGGCTTGAACATTTCATTGCTGAGAGAATATACTACAAAACTCTAAGGAGGAACTGAGTTTAGGGGCAGAGACCACAAACACCTTTGCGATAGAACCCAGTTTCTTTCCAGTCGCAGGAGGGCAGCAGAGGTCCAGGTGAGCCTGGATGTTAGGCGGGGGTTGCTTTCCGTTCTGACCAGAAGTGGGCAGTGTCGAGTGAGGCACAAAAGGGCATGCAGCCTTACGGTGACCCTAGGTTTTGTTACATGTGAAGACCAAGTGTACAGTGGCCCACAGATGTACTTTTTATTTCTTTTCCTTATCTTGTCAGTTCAGGAGCTCCCATATTGGCTTATTCTAGACCTGTTTCTGACTTGATGGACATGAGTTTGAGTAAGCTCCAGGAGTTCGTGATGGACAGGGAATCCTGGCGTTTTGCGGTCCATGGGCTTGCAGAATCTAACACAGCTGAGTGACTGAACTGAGACCTGGTTTTGCTCTTCTCCTGGCAGCCAGCTTTAAGTGTGTGTGTGTGTGTGTGTGTGTGTGGTTAGTGTCTTTCATTTTCTCTGTGACATTTCACCTTATATTGAATTAGCCATCAGATAAGTTCTGAAAAAGGGGAATAACTGAATTTGTAGAAAACATTTTGAGTTAGCATAGTCTTTTTTTCAACCCCCCCGTTTTTCCTTGGTTGGAGAGTGAGCTTAATTTTTTACCTATTCTTAAAACCTTGAATCTGCTTATTAAAAAAAAAAAAAAAAAAACCCTGATAATTGATGACTTTTAACTGGTGATTTTGCTCTATTTTGTATTTGGTTTATTGAANTTTTTTTTTTTTTTTTTTTTTTTTTTTTTTTTTTTTTTTTTTTTTAATTTGTTCTGTTTTTAAATTTGGCGAGCTTTGTGTCTTAGGAAGTCCTAGTTCCCAACTAGGGATGGAACCTGGGCACGGGTAGCGAAAGTGCTGAGTCCTAACTGCTGGACAGCCAGGGGACTCCTATAGATTTGTGTTTATGAAGTCCCTGCCTTATTTTCTCTACCTTTGCAGCTCAGATGAGTCCTGCTGCAAGTCATTCTGCCCCCAGGTTGCATAGGATCCTCTTGGGGCTGTCACGGTCCCCTGTGCCTGCCCCTAATGCTGCACTTAACCATACACTTACGAAACCATGCATTTTCCTGTCTCTCCCACTGGACTCTTAAATGCCCAGGGAATGGGGACCTTAGAGCTTAGCACAGAGCTAACATAGTGCATGTTTGTTGTGTAAATCATTTTCAACAGTAAGAAATGCTGTATAAAATAGCTGTATCCTTAGTTATGTGGATGCTCAGACATGAGGAATGTGCTGTAGAAGGACGAAGCCAAGGAAACAGTCCACATGAAGGGTGGTAGAGTGGGGCACGGGCATGAGACCAGAAGTCAGAAGACCTGCGTTGTAGACTTTGCTGTGCTGTTAACTAGTTGGATGGAGAAATAAGCTTGTCTCTGAGCCCTCACTTCCCCTATCTTTACAGGGAGGGAATTGGCCTGGGTGGTCATCAGAGTCTCTTGGCAGTTGTTGAAGCCTCTGATTAATAGTGTTCATGATAGTCCCATTGTGTTTGAGGAGGATCACACTGTGTGGATCCTCAGCTGAGCTTTGCTTTTTTTTCCTTTGCTTTTTTCCTTCAGTTTTTGCTTTTTATACATTACCAGGTTTTCATCATCCATCAGGGTGGTGGAAAGTTAAAAATGTACGATGTTTGTATAAAGCCTTTTATACAATTAGACAACATTTGTTGAATGTTTTAACGTTATCACATTACCAGGCTTGCAGGACTCACACACTTTTATACACATGATGTGCACTTTTATACACATCAACCTGTGTCATCCTCACAGCTCATGCTGGGATCAGTTCAGTTCAGTTCAGTCACTCAGTCATGTCCGACTCTTTGCAACCTGATGGCCTGCAGCATGCCAGGCCTCCCTGTTCATCACCAACTTCCGGAGCTTACTCAAACTCATATCCATTGAGTCAGTGATCCATCCAACCATCTCATCCTCTGTTGTCCCCTTCTCCTCCTGCCCTCAATTTTTCCCAGCATCAGGGTCTTTTCCAATGAGTCAGTTCTTCGCATCGGGTAGCCAAAGTATTGGAGTTTCAGCTTCAGCATCAATCCTTCCAATGAATATTCAGGACTGATCTCCTTTAGGATGGACTGGTTGTCTCCTTGCAGTCCAAGGGACTCTCAAGAGTCTTCTCCAACACCACAGTTCAAAAGCATCAATTCTTTGTCACTTAGCATGGCACTCGGGATGGAGGTAGACAAATAGTAGTAGTCCCTTTCTATACATGAGGTAAGGAAACCTTGATGAAATTAAAATTGATTTGTCCAGGGCCTGGAACTAATAAGTGACTGAGTAGGAACTTGTTAATTGACATTTTTACTCCAAACTTTTGTATTCCTTCCTCTCTATAGTGTTCAAAGACTTTTGGATGATGAATATGATGTCTTGTTAGGTTTCCTTTAACAGTGTTAAAGTTGCTTCTCTCTCTCTCTTTTTTTTTTTTTGCTTCTCTTTTTTAAATGGGAAAAACTTAGAGGTAAATGTTTCTGCACAGTAAGTCATCTTTAATATGATCTGGAAGAAATGGAGGAGAATGCACATCGGAAAACCTGACTTTATCTCAAGAGGGTGACCCTGGGCCAGCGCTGTCTGATAGAACTTTGCTTTGGGCAAACTGAGTCTGCAGCTGCCCATTATGGTAGCTACTGGTCACATGTAGTTATTAAACATATGGAATGTGGCTATGTGACTGAGACACTGTTTTTTTTTTTCCTTTTTGGACACACCCCGCGGCATGTGGAATCTTAGTTCCCTGACCAGGGATTGAACCCACACCCCTTGCACTGGAAGTACAGAGTCTTAACCACTGGGCCACCAGGGACGTCTAAGACACTGAATTTTTAATTTTATTTAATGTTAACTCAGTTTGAATACTCACATGTGGCCAATGGCTGTGGTGTTGGACAGCTCAGCTCTGGACAGATCTGTCAAACTCTCAGATGGCAGTTGCCTCATCTGTAAGATGAGAAGACTAGATGCGCTTTGATTCACATTTTCTCCAATTTTAGTTTTAATTGAGTGAGTAGAATCTAGGATGAGATGGATTTGAAGGAAAATCAGTATTTGAGCATATCTGCTCAGTGCTGGTGTATGAATAGAGATGGTGCTGAGGAAGCAGACAGATTCCAAATGGAAATGACCCTGTCTGGCATCATCTTTTGTGACTTTACAGAGCGTAATTGTCTTGACTAGTTCTTTGTGTTGTGCCTTACTTTCTCTTAAGATGACGGGGACAGGTTGATGGAATGGTGCTGTCTTTCCTGCTTGGGTGAATAGACTGAAGACGCCATGCGCAGTCTTCTCAGTAGATGTCTTCCACTTTACATATCTTGTTATCAGGGGAGGAAATTTTATTAGTCAGTTTCCTGAAACCTTTATCCCCTGGTTAACAGTTGAAATCATTCTTCTGAGCTGGTGAATAGTTCAGTTTTGTTGAGCTAATAATTCAGAGACTCCTAGAAGCTCTGCTTTTAGAATATTGTCTGGTAAATATACTTTTGCCTTAAAAGAAAGGAGCAGATCTATGTAAATAGGAATTTTCTGAAAACCATTTTCAAAGAAATTTATGAATCATTTTCTTGCCTTTTAGATGGACCAGTCCCAATGTCTTAGATTTAAATGTTTTAATATCATAAGATCTCAAAACTTGACTTTCCTAATAAATGAGGATTTCTTTGAGCATTCTCAGTGGTCAAGGCTCTTCCCTGAAGTGGCCTGTGCGCTAGTCCTCTCTCACCTTGGCTGTTAGCACCGATGCGTTGTACTAGTTCATAGTCTGTTGTCAGAGAGTTTGCTTAAAAAATTTGATGGAGTGAATAGGTGAGTTTCAGTAGATCTGTTTGTTCTTTTTTTGGCACTGTGCTCACGTTTGCTCCCCAATTTTTGCTCTTTGTTTTATTACATATTTCTTCTAATTCCACTGATGTAGGAATATTCTGCAATTATGTAGCATTACTGTAAGTGCCATTGTTAGTGAAATAAAAGCAATCTGGCTAGAACTCTTAAGATCTTTAAGCTCTGATGCTAGAATCTCCAGGTCGCCTGAACCAATACACAAAGTAAGGTGGTGCCCTTTCACATAGGGGGTAGCCCCCCTCTTCTGAAACGTAGTGTTTCCCAACATTTCTCAAGTGATGGCACACACGGAAGATGACAGTATTTTTATAGCACACTGCTGGAAAATGGACTGCTTGTGGCTGGAGACATTGGGGTGCCTAGAGTCAAGGGGTTACCCCTGGTCACACCGAGTTGGAGCAACTGTGGGTAGCCCTCCCACAGGGGTGAGAAAGAAAGCCACTTCTCTTGGAGTTGTTCTCCACCTCATTCTTGCCAAAAATAGTCTTATCTTTAAATGAAAACCATTCTTTCTTAGTCCTTTGTTAAACCTGAGGTTGGGGATCTTTTTCTAGGTTTTTCGAATTCTTCTTTCTTCCACTCCCCACCCCTCTCACCCCAATGAGAAGTTAGTGCTTTCTAAATCCAGAAAAGTTCTTTAGGTTAAGTTGAAGCCCTCTCGCCTCAAAGAGGGTTTGTGGATCAGGGAAGTCAGAGTGACTTACATGAAGTCACACAGCTGATTAATTGTAGAGCCAGTGTTAGAAATGTGTCTGCAGTTCCAAGTCAGTTATGTCTTGGAATTGAGATTTGAGCATTAGTTTTTATGGATACTTCTGTAAAATGCTCAGTGAAAAACATTTGCCTTATTTTGGTTGTTCTAGTCTTGTTTAAATACTTTCCAGAATTAGGGAACCCTGTAACTGCCTTTGTTGTCTATACGGGTTTAGAATTTAGGTTAAAGTATTTGAGGCCCTGTCTGTAGTATCACAAGACATTTTAGGAACCATGAATATATCTTCTTACCTCTCTGCTTCTTTCTTTCAGGTTCACCTTTTAATTTCCCCTGGATAAGAGCTCTTTGAGATGGCAGTTTGCTGGACACATGGATTTTCTTCAGATTTATGCTTACTACCAACTCTTTGGGGTGCAGGTGGAGAGCCTAGAGAAGTTCCCTGCCTTCCGAGCCAGAACAACTTTGTAATAAGCATTTGTTAGCATAGCCTCTGCCTTCCATACAGTGTAACCTTTCTGCCTTCCAAATTAAAAAGCTCCATGCCCCTCCTTCCTCTGCCTCTGGCTGTGTTTTTTGGTATTAAAATCCTTTTCCTTCAGTTCTCTGTGCACATTTCTTTAGGAGTTGATAACTTGCAACTGTGAATCTACCTCCATGTTTTCCTTAAGTGTATTTGAAGTTAATGACAAAAGGCACCTCTGACAACCCTGGGAAAGTAGAGCCCTTTGTCTTTTCCCTGGAGCTGGTAATCCCTTACTAATCCTTCAATTGTTGCGGGTGGTTCTGCTCTTAGGACACAATGCATTCCTGGAACTCCATCATTAAGCACTTTGTGAGAAATTGAGCTATGTGTGTGCTTCCCCATTTATATCTGTTTCACTGATTTAGTGGTGAAAAGTGAAATGCGTATCTCTTAGTGTAAGAAGAGTACAAAAAGTGGGAGTTGTGTATATGCTTATTTATGAGACACTGCTTTCCGAACCACCTTCACCAATACCCTCACTTTGTTCTTACTGTTATCTCAGGGGTTCCAGTCCTCATTAGGTAGATGAAGAAATTGAAGCTCTGATTTGTAACTTGCTTTAGATCAGAGTTCATGACACGCTTGGGTGGAACAATAGGTCTGCTGGCTGAAGTCTAGGCATATTTATATGTATTGTGGTGGCGGCTTTATTTCCATCTTGAGGGCTGTAGGAAATAAGCTATGTTGAGGATTCCACTATTTAAATTTAGCTGACTGCTGCCTTGGTATGTTGGGCTCTAGAGGTTCCCCAACTTGGCTGCACATTAGAATTGCTTAGGGAACTTAAAATCTCAATGCCCAGGGCACAGCCCAGACCAATTAAATAAAAATCTTTGGGGGTGGCATCTTTACTTGGTACAGCTACCCAGGATATTCTAACATGCAACCAGATTGGAGAAGTACCACTGGATTCTTGTTCCTTAAAATGTAGCCCATTGACCAGCAGTATTGACATCACCTAGGAGTCTATTTGAAAAGGAGATTCTCCAGCCCCACCTCCCTCCCTAAGCAAAAGCTGTTTTAACGTGGTCTGCTTGTGAAATTGTGCATGTTAGAAGTTTGAGAGGCACCCATCCAGACCAGTGGTTCTCAAATCTTGGTTTATCTCACAGTTCTCTGGGAACTTAGTAATGAACTTGGGCCTCTGTGTTTTTTAGCTTTCCATGGAACTCTGATACACACTGAGGTTTGAGAATAACTCTGGGTCAGGAGTCGTCATCACTGAATGGTGTGGCAGTGTTTCACCAAAACTGTATCACAAAGGCAGGCTGTTGGTCCTTGGGACATGGTTTACCATTCTGGGGGATATTAGTTCACTCATAACTAATAATGCTTTCAAACGTATGTACAGGCATGCATCTTTATCAGGAGGCTTCTGAACAATTTCTGGTGTAGATTGATAGACTAGTATTTTGAATAAGAAAAGCAGTATAAATGGGCTTAAAAACTGGGAATAGTACTAATTTCATCAAGGAAGACGTTAAAACTTTCAGAGCCTCTGATACACACATTTTAATATCTATCCATGATCTTGAGATACATGGGGCAGATACCAAGCACCCACTTAATTGGGTTAGCTGTTATCTCAGATGTGATTTACCCAAGCCAGTGACCGTCAATGGGAAACATTCATGTTGTCTTCTCACTATTTGCAGTAGGGCAAAAGCCTATGGACAGCTTTTAGAATCTTGAGTTTAAATTCAATTTAATAAAACTCCATTTTTGGGCTTTGTTCAGTGGTTCTCAACTATTTTTTTGAAAAATTTATTTTAATTGGAGGCTAATTACAATATTGTGATGATTTTTGCCATACATTCACATGAATCAGCCATGGGTGTACATGTGTTCCCATCCTGAATCTCCCACCTCCCTCCCCATCTCATCCCTCAGCGTCATCCCAGTGCACCAGCCCTGAGCACTCTTGTCACCTGGTCTGGTGATCTATTTCACATATGCTAATATACATGTTTTCAATGCTATTCTCTCAAATCGTCCCACCTTTGCCTTCTCCCACAGAGTCCAACAGTCTGTTCTTTACATCTGTGTCTCTTTTGCTGTCTCGCATATAGGGTCATTGTTACCATCTTTCTAGATTCCATATATATGCGTTAATATACTGTATTGGTGTTTTTCTTTCTGACTTCTTTCGCTCTGTATAATAGGCTCCAGTTGCATCCACCTCATTAGAACTGACTCAAATGGCATTCTTTTTAATAGCTGAGTGGTTCTCAACTCTAGATGCAGAAAATTTACCTGTGAAATTTTTTTTTTCAGTTATTTTTATTAATTGGAGGCTAATTACAATATTGTAGTGGGTTTTGTCATACATTGACATGAATCAGCCATGGATTTACGTGTATCCCCCCTCCCACCTCCCTCTCTACCCGATCTCTCTGGGTCTTCCCAGTGCACCAGGCCCGAGCACTTGTCTCATGCATCCCACCTGGGCTGGTGATCTGTTTCACTATAGATAATCCTGTGAAATTTTAAAAAGTACATTCCCCCTCTCCCCAATGGAATTTCTGATTCTTAGGTTTTTTGTTTTTTTTTTTTTTAAAGATAGAGGCACTGAACCAGGATGGGTAATCTTTTTCATCAAATGGGTCTTCCAACCTGGGTCTTGATACCCATCAGCTCTGTTGTGATGGTGCCCCTCTATGGGTCTCACACATGGGTGCCCAAAGGAGCATGCTGCAACAATGGATTTTGAGTACCATGCCACAGAGTGAGCTATAGTCTAGCATTTTCTGCTGTCTCCGGCTCAACACCTTTACAAAGTGGCTTTATTTTTATTTTCTATGCTCTTTTGTGGAGCCGGAAACCATTCGCCACAAGCACTGTACATGGTCTGGTCCCTGCCATTCTTTGCAGCGGCGGGAAGCCCGGCCCTGAGCACCTCCTGCCCACACACTTCCTGCCCCCTATCACATGGAAACCATCGTTTGTGTTTTCTTCTCTTAGCAGCCAATACCTTTGGCCTCTTTGATCACATCCTTTCATCTTAGTCTTCAAAACACTTTTGTTATGATGGTTGAAAATACTTGGGGGGTGGGGGTCAGAGAGGCCTGCTCTCTGGTTTTGGAGGCTCAGCAAACTTGCCCTGGTGGTTACCAGGGCCTGGGGCGCTTGTGTACAGACTCAGTGTGACTGTGTCCTCTCCCATCTCAGCTTGCGGCTCAGGGCTTCTACAGTCTGAGTACTGTATGACTTCCTGTCTTTAACTTTTAAAAACTTAACGAATATAAAAAATGGATTTTTCCTTTTGGTAGAAACCAGCACAATACTGTAAAGCAATTATCCTTCAATTAAAAATAAATAAATGGATTTTTTCCTGCACGAGGAAACAATACTTCACAGAACAAGGATCTTAGATAAGGAAATGAGGGGGAAAAAAAGACTTCTGAGGAACAAAAAAATACTTGCTTAGGTTGAATTAATTAATAGGCAGGTTCAAGCTTATGCAGACCTGTCCATAGGATGAAAAGGAGAGGCATTTTCAAGACTCTAGTTGGGCAGCCGGCTACTGCCGGAAGTACCTCGTTTACCCTGAAGGTGTTGATTCAAGGACGTGTTCTGCCACTTCCTGTCTGTTGACCTGAAGACCTTTTGTTTTGTCTCTCAAATTTAGCCAATAATTAGGCACCCAGGCATGGTGCTGCATAGCACGTGGGATCACCAGAGACAAGATACAGTCTTGTTGTCCAGGAGTGGCTACCACTGAGCACCCTCCGTATGTCTGGCATGGTATTAAGTGTCCTGTTACTTATATTTCCCTGTGAGATGGTTGGATGACATGATCGACTCCATGGACATGAGTTTGAACAAACTCGAGGACATAGGGAAGGACAGGGAAGCCTGGCATGCTGCAGTCCTTGGGGTTGCAAAGAGTTGGACACGACTTAGTGACTGAACAACAACAATAATCCCATGAAAAGAAGGTAGTGTCTTTCAGATGAGGAAATGGAAACTCAGATGACAGTGTGAGGGTTTGAATCTTATTTCTGTCTGATTTCAAAGCACTTGGGTTAGGCTTTATGAGAAAATGATAGAAGAGCACGGGGCTAATAGGGCTTCTCACTGTTGTCCTGACAAAATACAAGTGAAAGTACCTTGTTAATACGGCTGCTGTACAGTGTATTGGCACCCTGAGCACAGTTGTCAGAAATGCGGAAAGCTGTCCTCACATGCTGCTTTTCACCCTCAGCTGCACATCCAGTTTTACTGGCTTCCAGCTAAAGGACTGTGGTGGCCAAGGTCAGGTCTTCCTAGATGTCCCTAGAGACATCCCTGGGGTCTGCTATTTGAACCGGCTCTGCCTTTTTAAATCCCAGGGATGAACAGCTTTGTTTCTTAACTTTTTATTACTGAAAATGTCCCAGACATACAATGCACACACATGCATGCATGTCAAGAGATAAACTTACAGATACCCAACATTTGGCTTAAAAAATTATCAATGTTTTTTACCCCATCTGGACTTCCCTTGTGGCTCAGCTGGTAAAGACTCCACCTGCAATGAGAGAGACGTGGGTTAGATCTCTGATCTTTGGGTTGGGAAGATCCCTGGAGAAGGGAAAGGCTAGCCACTCCAGTATTCTGGCCTGGAGAATTCCCTGAACTATATAGTCCATGGGGTCTCAAAGAGTCAGACACGACCGAGTGACTTTCACTACCCCGTCTAGTTTCAAGATACTATAAGAGACATCTGATGGGGAAGCTCTTTCTATGACTCCATCATTGAGTTAAAAAATATTTGCCTGCCTACTCTCCGGGACATGCAGAGGTGATCAGAACAGACAAGGTAACTCCCCTTTTAAGCCTTACATTCTAGTCAGGAAGAGGGCCAAATTAGCACATGAATAGAACTGCTGTTAAGTGGAGTGACGGACACAAACGATATCAAGTGATCACGAAAGAGGATGAGCTGGGAGCTCCCTAGACACAGTGGTCAGGAAAGCTTCTCTAAGCAGGAGACATTTATCATCAGTCACCGGCAGCTGGAGTGTGTCTAGGTATTACTTTATTAAC